TATATAACTATTAGAATTCTATTTCATGTATATATCTATATATACGCTGTAACGCAATTTTAAAAAGAAAAGGAAACGTAATCCCACATCAAATGAATGTTAACCGCATAAGTTAGCCATATTGAAAAAAATGTCGTTGCACTGCGCAGCCGCGTGTAAATTTATTCCGGAATTTGAACATACGTCCAATGGACGTCATTTGTAAGTACCTTATGGACAACTTGTTAATAATTCCATAAAAGGGAATAGTTGGACGTCCAGTGTACGTACACTTTTATTACATGGACGTCGTAACCTAAACTGGATCAAATATGGACGTCCATTGGAAGAGCTGTGTTGTGTGGGAAGTGGTTGAATTCAGTAAGTACATAAATAAAAGGTTACAATCTGCATACAAGTTACACACATTATAGATTAATTGAATAAAGCAAATACCTCACCTGATATAAAAAAAGCAAAAGCACACAGCAATGATTAAGGTATCACAAAATATTTCAAGACAAGCCGTACTTTACACTTCAGCCGGTTCCGAGACAAAGACCATGAACACACATGTTAAATCCTATTTATTTGACCAACCCAAGCCACGCGGTAATTTGATCGGCTAATACCCCTAAACCACCCCAAAATCGCCCATTCCCTGCATTTCCCGCATTTCTAAGAAAAAAAGTGGACCGCAGGTGTTGAAATTGTAAACACATGTCTGTCTTCCAAGAAATTCCATCCGTCTCATCTTCGCTCTCTTTCCCTTTTCTGTAATCCCACCAGATTTCTGTTGGTAGTGTGTGTAACCTACATGATGTATAGGGTGCTTCGTATCGACAATCATATTCGCAGGACGTTGTTAAGGTTGGGGCATCTCATTGCTTTATATAAAATAGTGCGAACTTGTGTTACCACGATTATTTGACACACGGGCAGCGGAGCGAACAGTTTTACCCTGTATGAGTCATCACCGAGGGCAGAAAAAAATTGCGCTGCGCTGTAATTCAACGTAGAATAGCTGTACCGGGTTGGTGATCTAGATTATTCATCAATCCATCATATTGGGAAGCATCGGATGCGGAATAGCTGATTTAGATGATTTTGGGGAATTGCACCATTCCACCCAAGCTAAAGATCCTATACTTACCAAATTCATAGCAGTATAGTTGGTTGCCTATCTCACAAGATTCAGTTGATTCAGAGATTTGACGCCCTTCAACTTCTGAAATCTGTTTCTGCATTTCGAAATATATTTGCTATACGAGTATTGACAATTATTACTTTTCCGTTTTCAAGGGAAGTTATAGCTAGCTAAGACTGAACTGATTCCATGAACAGCTACGGTTGTTACCGACTCAATGCTTTTGTAGTTTACGATCGATAAGAACATTTTTGCTTTCGTTTTGCCTTAGTAGTTTCTATTGCTTTTGTTGTTGTAACTTCAAATGCTTTCGTGGTAATGGGTCAACCCATAGGTTTGTTGTCAGATGTAATATGGTTGATTGTAAATAGTAAAAGTGTAATTCCATTTGGGAAAATATTGTTATGTGACTTGTAGTGTGCTTAACCTCCAGGTTCTACACTAACTTCACACTATAAGAACACGGAAATAAGGTCAACCCGGCAACGTCTAAAAATGGCCACCCGAATGACTATTTCCTCCAAAACTGAACAAGATCCCGCTTAAATTTGAAAAGTGGCACGTGATCAAGCATCTAAGGCAGGGCTATGACCTGAAGCACAGTAGGGAAGGAACGTAAAATAAAACACTGAAATTGTGACAAGTTTGTTTAATAATGATCGTAATTATTATAATTGTAAAAGCTCGGAAATTTAAGTCGAAATAAATTACATTGCAAAAATAAACTTCGAAAATGGTAGCTCACCGAATAAAGATAGATATAGGCTGGGAAAAAAGAACTCACCAATAAAAACCAGCCGCCAAATTTATATTAAATTGTGTAGTAAAATTAATTGTTTGTAATGATGTGAATGCGTAACATAAAATTATAACATCACAAAAAGTAGCAGGTATACTTCAAGAGGTAACATTTAGGTTGAAAACAAGTTTTGGGAATTATGGGTCAGGTAAGCAGGTACCAAGATTCTGGGAAAGGGTGAAATACACAGGATGTGACCCATCTTTGGTGCAATAAAGTCCTTTTTTTTAAAAGCAAGATGGAAAATTACATTGCCTTGTAGGCAAATTTAACAAAAAAATAAGATATGTAGAAATTATGAATCGTAACTCATTTATCGCACATGGACTCTAAACTGAAGAGCTTTGATTAGCGTAATCCCGCTCCTGCAAGATAGGTAACCCGCCCCTGGTTTCGGGGTTTTGAGCCTACAGTTGAATGTCGAAGATAATCACGGAATTAGGTGTCGTAGCTCAATTTTGACTACAGTTTTTTACCACCCCCGTGACTGCTTCATTCACGGAGAAAATTGTTAGTTACAAACAAGTCAGTACGTGTACATCAAACGAATCGGTAATTTCCACATATTAAAATATAATGATGAAAACTTATATGAATGTTACTTCAGGGACAATGCAAAGTAATCAACATCAATAAACATCAATTAAGCAAGCATTACACCTAAAACGTAAACAATTACAAACAATAGCATAACGGTATCACATATGTGATTGTGCATTGCGGTTAAACCAAGTAAATTTTAAAAACAAAAAAATATAAAATGCGGCATACAACACACAAATACGATATAAAGAAATGCAAAAATTACTACCTGCATTAAATAACACAAAATATCAACAAACATTTATGGAGCGATGAAATGCCAAACGTCACTCCCGTTTGTGCTTTATAGATGGCGCAGGCAGCTTTTCCCCACCTAGAAATTGTATGGTTGACAACTCTCAAAAATGTATGTATCGCCGTAAGTTGTATATACAGGGTGGAACCTCTCAGACTTGAATTTCTTTATGTTCTTATTATTATTATCTTCTTTATTCTTCGGCTCGCTCGACATTGGTGTGAAAAAAAATGTAGTGTTTGTTTGACAGTTGCTAAACGTCGTTTGCCACCGTGGACGTAGAGAGGCGAGTCTAATGTAGGACCCGAACTCGCCTTCGGCTCCCTCGGCATTGGTGTGCAACAAAATGTAGTGTTTGTTTGACAGTTGCTAAACGTCGTCTGCCACCGTGGACGTAGAGAGGCTAGTCTAAGGGAGGGCCCGAGCTATGCCGAACTCGCCGTCGGCTCGTTTGGCTTTGGTGTGCAAAAAAATGTAGTGTGGTGTAGCGCAACTCTACGTATTAACGAGAAAATTGGTGTTAAACCTCGACAATATACTTAGGTCGTATGCTGCTAATTCTTATTGGCGTTAAAAAGCATCCTCGATGATTTTTACAACCGCAAAGCCCAAGTGAATGCTCTAAAAAGACAATGTCGTGAAAACAAAGTTCCATTCTAGGACACCCCTTTGTTTATCTTGAAATTGACTCCTCCATCAGTTTGACGTTTAGTTTTTTTTTTAAATGGCGGAAAATCCTCATTTTAAGGAAAATACGTCTTTTCGTGGCGACAAAAGGCTTCCAACACATGCGGATGGAAAGTTTAGAAGGTTTTAGACCCCCCCCCCCCACGGACGTGCCCGCGCCCTATTTAACTCAAAATCGACAAAAAAAAACGCTTTACTGATGACGTCATCGGGGCATAATTTAAATGTTTTTTTTTTGCAAATTTAAGGGCGAAGGAGTGAACAGATCCAATTTTGGAGCATATGAATGTCACCTCAACTTTTGAGGGAGAACTCGATTCCGTCGAGGAACTTGACGGATCGCAAAACTCCGTGCAACCTCCAAGCTGTTTCTATTATTATATTTATATTTTCTGTAGTAACCTTAAAACAAATGCCGTCTTCGCAATCGTCGCCCCTGATTGTTTTGGTGTATTTTGACATTTTGGTAAGATGGAAAAGCATCAGCCAAGATCCAAAAACTTTACTAAGTATACTCCGTTCAATAGGTAGTTATTGTCCTGGCAGGTAGCAATGGAATTTTGTTTTTATGTTTAATAAAATTAAAACTCCCTATCAGAATCAGCTGTGAAGTAGAGGAGTGTCTAATTTGACTATTTAAGTGTGTATTTGATCGTTGGTAAACATCGTTGGCATACGTTTCCGCGTGTCCTCTACTTCTTATCTTCAAACTAATTGGCTTACGCAGAGATAACAAACTTCTTATCGCAACGACCGGATGTAAATAAGATATCTTTAACAAAACGTTATTTCTAAAAGGCCCTAATCTTTCCAAATGAACAATAAAATAAAATCAAAACAAAATTAAACAACAAATAGTTTTTAAACAAAGTCACATTGACTTCAAAGGGTACTCACGATTATTAAGGGCTTTATTGTGTAGAAGGGCACCATGAATGGTGAATATCCTGGCATTCTAGTAGTAGTTTTGATTAAATACTTCGATAGTGCAGGTAGTTGTAGATCTGTGTGGAACTCGTAATTACCATATTTTCTTTCTCGTAGCGTGTTGATCTTTTAATGGCTTTCGGAAGTCGCTGGCTTCAGTGCGTCGGAGATAGCAGGAAGGAATGATGTTTTATTTGTGAAATAAATATCTGACATAAAATTACTAGTTGTGAGATCATCGCCCACGTTTGTAAGAACGCAATTCAGAATCTCCGTGCGTGTATTTCTCAAAGAACAGCCTTTCAGGGGGTACCTCGAGTCTGATTTGCTCTTTAAGAAAATCGTTTACTTAATTACTAGACGTCATCTTAAAGAAATCGGTAATTAATTAACAAAGAATAGGTAAGGACGATTCCGGGGGGATTTTTGAATTAATTCGATTTTGGGATAGAGAGCGGCAGCCGTGCAGATCAAAGTATAGTTATTTTTCCGATACAATCTTTTACCATACATACTGTAGGTAGTAAAAAGGAATGGCTAATCTTTTAAAAAAGTAGTTCAATTCATGATGGCGTAGGTGTAAACAGGTTAAAGTCGGTTCACTAACGGAACACTTCTCGTAGGAATCCAACAACGATGCCATACAGCGCCGGCAGTCTCGAAATGCGACGGCAACAGCTGATCTCCCAAAGATCAACCGTGGAGATGAGAAAAGGACACGCCGTCAGCGTTCGAAGGGCCTACAAGCGTTACGGAACGAAGCGAAGTCCGATCGTGATACTTGAAAATCTTAACATGACTGTACCTAAAGGTACTATGTAAGTACGAATTACGATCTCGCCCAACAAATTAGGCAATTTTGCAGATACGGCCTGCTCGGGTCGAGCGGTTGCGGTAAGACGACGTTGCTGAGCTGCATCATAGGTCGGAAGAAGTTCAACTCGGGCGAACTGTGGGTTCTGGGCGGTTCGCCCGGCTCCAAAGGTAGCGGTCTGCCCGGACCGAGGATTGGGTACATGCCTCAGGTGGGTTTCCAGCCGACGCGATCAGTCTAAACGCCAGTGTTTCAGGAGATAGCTTTGTACAACGAATTTACCATTCGGGAGACCATGAAGTACTTCGGCTGGATCGCCAAAATGTCGACGGAGGACGTGGAGGATAGATTGTGTTTTCTAACGAATCTTCTGATGTTGCCCGATATCGATAGGAAAGTGAAAAATTTGAGCGGCGGTCAGCAACGTCGGGTGTCGTTCGCGACCGTTTTGCTGCACGAACCCGAACTGCTGATCTTGGACGAGCCGACGGTGGGGTTAGATCCGCTGCTACGCGAGACGATTTGGAATCATCTCACCGAAATCACAAAGGATCGCAGCACCACTGTGATTCTAACGACTCACTACATCGAGGAAACCCGACAAGCGGGCCTGGTAGGTCGGACATTACCGGGCACGGTCTTAAGTGTTCGTTTTCAGATCGGGTTGATGCGCAGCGGGTATATCATGGCAGAAGAGTCGCCCGCCAGTATCCTATCACGTTTCGAGACAGACACATTGGAAGATGCGTTTTTGAAGTTGAGCATCATGCAAAATATGGGCAGACGGAAAAGGTCGATAGCGGCGCGCGCTGTTGCCAGTGCGGTTGTGCTGCCCTCTGGTATAGTCAATCAAGCACTGGACGTCGACGACGATCACCACCACGAAATATCGGCCGAATTCGGTGACGGTCTGACCACGAGTAAAACTGGTCGGCGGTTCTCCTTGGTCGCGCAGGAAGCGATACCTCAGCTGCCGCAGGAGCCAGTTCACAAAGCCGAACTGGGCGACTACCTTCTCCACTTAGAGCCCAGGCACATGAAGGCGTTAATTTGGAAGAACTTTCTGTGGATCCTCCGAAACTGGCCAATAATGCTGACCGTAATCGCCCTGCCCGTTACGCAGTTTGCCATATTCTATTTGGCGGTGGGTCACACCCCCACCAACCTTAATATAGCCATAGTCGACTACGAGAGTGGCGATCGCGACTGCCACCCTCTAAGTTGCAATGGAACCAGATTAGGCTGTAATTATCTGGAATATTTGAAAAAAAAGAAGATTCACCTGGTACGTGAAACGTTACGCTTGTCAGTCAGTCGCGCAATGCTTACAGATACGATACGAAACCGAGGGGGATGCTATCGATGCTGTCAATCGGGGAGAAACTTACGCGTCGGTGATAGTTAAGGAAAATTACACCACCGCTCTCAAAGCGCGCATCAGCAATGGGAGGCGCTCCGACGAATGGGATATGTTTCACTCTACCATAGACGTTTACCGGGATGCATCTGGTAAGACTATTCGGTGGTCATCCATTCGACCAACGTTGCAATAATTATTAAGTGTACCTCAATATGTTGTCGACAAGTGGAAGTGATCATGAACCAATCTACTTTTTTTTTTAGTAAAAGACATCTCAACATTCCTTCGATTCTACTTCTACGACAGCTTCATGACTTTTATAGCCGATTACATGGATTCGTGCGAACTGAACAGGAATGCACTTAAACTGCCCTTACAGGTAAACACTCGACTAGCGCATAATGCCAACGGACAGATCTATTTTTAGTGGAACGCCCCTGTCTACGGAACCGTAGAGACGGATTTTACCGAATTTGCGACGCCAGGAGTGCTAATTACGTAACGTGACGGATTGGCGTCTTAGGCGTTTCGCTCAAGTTAGTTTTTTAGGATTGCATTTTTCCTGGCGGCCGCGTTAACAGCTGTCGCGATGTTGGTGGAACGTAACGAAGGCATACTTGAAAGGTCCCTTGTTATGGGGGTCAGTCCGGTGGAGGTGCTCACGTCGCATGTCGTAAGCGAGTTTGTGCTGATGATGATACAAATTGTGGCGGTAACGTGCTGCGGACTGTTCATATTTCGCATGAAAGTAATGGGCTCGCTGGTGCTGTTCATTATCCTACTATCACTTTCAGGGTTTTGCGGCATGTGGTTTGGTACGTATTTTTCTCTTATAACGTTTGAGTAATGTTCGCTTTAGGTTTTGCCCTTTCATCGATGTGCGATAACGAGACGAGTGCCGCCTACATTTTACTAGGCAGCTTTTTTCCATTGATCCTGTTATGTGGTGTAATTTGGCCAATAGAAGGAATGGTGCACGGACTTCAGCTGGTTGCGCAGGTATTACCGCTCACTCAACCGGTCGAGGGCTTGAGAAGTATTATGCAGAGAGGGTGGAGCATGCGAAAACCTCCCGTCTATCACGGTTACATCACCATTTCAATGTGGACGTTATTGTTTATTATTTTTAGTGTAGTTTTAATTAAATATAAAAGAGGGTAGAAGTATTTTTTGTAGTACAAATCTGTTGTGGGTCCCAAGAAGTATATTTTTGCAAAGAAAATATAATCGTTAGCCTTCTTTGTCTACGCCTACCTTACGTGCTTCAGTTTTTCCCCATTTCTCAACCACGTGTTCTGTCCACAATCTTCATGTTTCATTCACATTCACTTCACTCCCCCAAAAAGTTTTCATGTATCCTTCACGCCATCTTCACAATAGCTTTCACTCCGCTTTCGTAATTTATTTACCCCCTCATCACGCTATTTTTTGCCATTTCCTCATGCCAACTTCGTGCCTTTTAAAGGCTTATTTGACTCCTACGTTCTTCACACCTTTATCGCCCCTTCTTCGTAATTTCTACACCGTCTTTTCACGTCGTCTTCATATCTTCTTCACACCCGTTTTTCACATCATCTGTGGTTCTTGAACTCGGTCGCGCTTCCTTTAATCCCTCTTCATGATTTCATTAAATCCACTCGCTACACTATTCATATCCAGTGTGGCGTCATCCCTCACATCCTCCGCATCTTTTAATGACGCTTTAACCACGTCTTTTTCATATTTCTTTACGACATCTTTAAACCACCCTGAATGAAATTAACCATAATTGGTTTATTTATCGTGAATCTGAGGGCGATGGTGATCTATAATGAAGTGTACACGGATGCATTTAACATCTTAACCTGGCGCTCCATTCCTAGAAACCGTAACTTCTGGACATACCTATTTATTTTCCAGGAGATCGAAATAGAGTGTAGAATGAACTGTTTTAATTTGGTGATCCGTATTTAAGCCGCTCATAGTAAAAACAAGATACAGCGCATATAATTTTATATTTTGTAACCGTTCCCGCGGAGATATTTACATTACTTTTGCAGCCGAAGGCTCTCGTTATTTGGGAGATGGCAAATTAATATTTTATGATCTTCAGTTCCCTTTATGAATTAGTCGCAGAACTTATGTATGTTCGCAATGATAAAAGCGGCAGTTAAACTTGTTAGTCGAAACGTATACGGGACCTCCGCGAAATTTTTCTCAAAAATTCATAGACAGCAACTTGCGTGAGAAAACTTGCCGAAAACTTCTCGCCTTTATACCAGACAGCAACTTGTCTAAGAAGTCTATTCCCCCCTTGAAGAAGAAACATCAAGACCGATTTTGGACCAAAAAGTCATTAAAGAAGAGTTACTAGAAAAGCTACTAGCAAAGTCACTAGAAAAGTCACTAAAAAGTCACTAGAAAAATCAGTAGAAAAGTCAGTAGATAAAGTCAATAGAAAAGTCGCTAGAAGTCACTAGAAAATTCATTAGAAAAGCCATTAGAAAAGTCAGTAGAAAAGTCACTAGAAAAGTCACTAAAAAAGTAACTAGAAATGTCAACAGAAAAGTCAGTAGATAAAGTCAGTAGAAAAGTCAGTAGAAAAGTCACCAGAAAAGTCACTAGAAAAGTCACTAGAAACGCACTAGAAAAATCACTAGAAAAGTGACTAGAAACGTCACCAGAAAAGTCACTAGAAAAATCACTAGAAAAGTCACCAGAAAAGTCACTAGAAAAGTCCCTAAAAAATTCACTAGAAAAGTCAGTAAATAAAGTCAGTAGAAAAGTCACTAAAAAAGTGACTAGAAAAGTCAAAAGAAAAGTCACTAGAAAAGTCACCAGAAAGGTCACTAGAAAAATCACTAGAAAAGTCACCAGAAAAGTCACTAGAAGTTCCCTAAAAGAGTCACTAGAAAAGTCACTACAAGAGTCACTAGAAAAGTCACTAGAAAAGTAACTAAAAATGTCACTAGGAAAAGTGCAATGGGAAGGATGAAACAGAAAAAGTGAATTGCAACAGCATGAGTGCAGAAGAGAAAATGCAGCAGGAAGAATTCTGCAGAAAGATTGCAGTAGGAAGAATGCAATAACAAGAGTGCAGCAGGAAGAGTGCAGGAAGAATAGTGCAACATGAAGATCACTAGAAAAGTCACTAGAAACGTCCCTAGAAAAGTCCCTAAAAAAAGTCACTAAAAAAGTAACTTAAAAAATCACTAGAAAAGTCAGTATATACAGTCAGTAGAAAAGTGAGTAGAAAAGTTAGTAGAAAAGTCACTAGAAAAGTTGCTAGAAAAGTCACCAGAACAGTCACTAGAAAAATCACTAGAAAAGTCACTACAAAAGTCACTAGAAAAGTCACTAGAAAAGTCACTAGAAAAGTCACTAGAAAAGTCACTAGAAAAGTCACTAGAAAAGTCACTAGAAAAGTCACTAGAAAAGTAACTAAAAATGTCACTAGAAAAGTCACTAGGACAGTCAACATATAAAGTCAGTAGAGAACTCACTAGGAAAGTCACTAGAAGAGTCACTAGAAAAGTTATTAGAAAAGTCACTAGAAAAGTCACAAAAAAGTCACTAAAAAGTGACTAGAAAACTCACTAAAAAGGCACTAGAAAAGTGACTACAAAAAGCACTAGAAGAGTCACTAGACAAGTCACTAGAAAAGTCACTACAAAAGTCACTAGTAAAGTCACTAGAAAAGTCATTAGAAAAGTCACTAGAAGACAAGAAATATCACTAAAAAGCCAATAGAACAATCACTAGAAAAATCACTAGAAAAATCACTAGAATTACTAGAAAAATCACCACAAAAATACCTACCGACTACGTTTGCAACTCTGCTGTCGTGGTCGTACGCGTCAGAGTGCGCGTGTGTGTGCGTGCAGAAAAAGGGAAAGTGAAGCAAGGTGAATGCAACAGCATGAGTGCAGCAGGAAGAATTCTGCAAAAAGATTGCAGTAGGAAAAGTGCAATAAGAAGAGTGCAGCAGAAAAGGTGCAGCAGGAAGAGTGCAGAAGGAAGTGTGCAAAATGAAGATCACTAGAAAAGTCACTAGAAAGTTCCTAGAAAAGTCACTACAAAAGTCACTAGAAAAGTCACTAGAACAATTACTAGAAAAGTCCCTAGAAAAGTCACTACAAAAGTCACTAGAAAAGTCACTAGAAAAGTCAGTAGATAAAGTCGGTAGGAAAGTCACTAGAAAAGTCACTAAAAAAGTCACTAGAAAGGCACTAGAAAAGTCACTAGAAAAGTGCCTAGAAAAGTCACTAGAAAAGTCACTAGAGAAGTCACTAAAAAAGTGGCTAGAAAAGTCAAAAGAACAGTCACTAGAAAAGTCACCAGAAAGGCACTAGAAAAGTCACTAGAAACGTCACTAGAAAAATCACTACAAAACTCACTAGAAAAGTCATTAGAAAAGTCACTAGAAAAGTCAGTAGATAAAGTCAGTAGAAAGGTCACTAGACATGTCGCTAGAAAAGTCACTAAAAAAGTCAATAGAAAAGTTACTAGAAAAGTCACTAGAAAGGCACTAGAAAAGTCACTAGAAATGTCGCTAGAAAAGTCACTAGAAAAATCTCTATATTTCCTGACTTTAGTTGTTATGATTAGTTAGCGACATCTAGTGATCGACAATGTACTTAGTTTGTAAAGCAGCGTTTACACGCTGTATAAATAAAGTAACGGGTACAGAGTTCAGCAGGAAGGGTGCAGTAAGGAGAGTGTAGCAGGAGAGTGCAGCAGGAAGAGTACAACCAACAGGAAGATTGCAGTGGGAAGGACATAGTGTGTACAGTGCACCAGGAAGGTTGTCGGAAGAAAAGTGCACCAGGAAGGGTGTAGCAAAAAGAGTGGAGCAGGAAGATTGCAACAGGAAGAGTGCAATAGGGAGGGTTCGGCAGAAAGAGTGGAGCAGGGCAATCTTCCTGCTCCACTCTATTTCCCTGCTGCAGTAGGATGAGCGCAGCGGAAAAAAAGTACAGGGGGTAGAGCGCAGCGGAAAGAATGCTGCTGGAAGAGTGCAGCAGGAAGCGTCCAGTAATAAGAGTGCAGCATGAACAGTGCAACAGGAAGGGTAGAGCAGGAATAGTGTAACAGGAAGAGTGCAGCGGGAAGAATGCAATAAGAAGAGTGCAACACTATGGGTGACGTATAAGAAGGGTTCAACAGGAAGACTGCCGTAAGAAGAGTGTAGTAAGACGAATTCAGCAGGAAGGGTACAGTAAGGAGAGTGTAGCAGGAGAGTGCAGCAGGAAGGATACAGCAGGAAGAGTGCGCAGAAAAATTGCGTTAGGGAGAGTGGGGCGTGAAAAGTGACCCTAACCCATCCCTTGCGTCGAAATGTTTTATAAATTCTGAAGAAACGGCACAAGCCGAAAAAATCATAGACCACGTGACCGAAGCTCGCCAACATCTCGCAACCTGATTAATTCAATTTATCTGTCACTGGAACAGTTTTTGAAAGTGCTCCTCGCCTAGTTCCTTAATGCAACGAGAACATCGTCGTTGGGTTTTTTTCTGCGACGGGTACGCCTTCACCAGGTCGATGGTGAAACAAATTGTTTTGTTGTCTATTTCGGAGAGAAATATTCAAGGAGCGGTACCTATACTGGATAGCGATCCAAGATGATTCGTTAATTTCCGCATGGTGTCCATTTGTTCATTTTCTTGGGCACAAGATCTATGCTATGCCTAGATCCATCATGGTTTGAAAGTACTTCCGGGTGGCCACCGAGTTTTCCGGCGGTTTGCTTGTTTGTGGTGCGGATGTGATGTCTCGTGGAGTGTGTGCATTCTTTAAATAGTTCCTCCGCAATTTCTACCACTATTACTTCCTGGATGGGGATGTCGTGCTGGAATGCGTCTACTGCGCATGGGCTCGTACTATGTATGGTGTCGGCGAGTTCGGCTGCCTCCCCCAGGGTGGCTTTTGCTTTATCACCAGGATGGCTTGGACATTGCGCGGCAGTCTGTTGTTCCATATAGGGCACGGACGATACTGCGAATCGGAACGGAGGTGTCGTAGGAACTGCGACGGCTTGCGGTCCCCTAGTTCTTCGCGTTCGAGTAACCGTCTACTCCACTTCTCGTGGGTGGCGCGCTATGCCTCTTGATGAGTTCTGATTCCATTCCCCAGAATTGCTTTTGACTAGTTTTGAACTTTACTCAAGAATTGACGTTTGTAGGGAATTAAATTATACATGCAAAGATACTGATCTCTACCTTGGAAAAATCGTGTGAAAAGAATGTTTGTGTGCTAATTCGATTGCGAAATTCAAATCTAATGTTTACAACGTATTTTTGTCTTTTTAAATGCCGTATTCATAATATAGTTTCGCAAATTCACCTTGCCTCAATTTTGCAAACAAGCCCGAATAGGAATGTCAGTAGTTCCATTTATAATCTTGTGTGATGACGAGTCAGGAATTGAACGTTATACGTTCGAACAGCAACACCTTCTCCGACAAAAGGATCAGTTTCGCCGTGAAGTTTCGAAAGGCCTACAAGAGTTACGTAACCAAGAGCGATGCCAACATCGTGCTTCGGAACCTCAACATGACCGTTCCGAGAGGGACAATGTAGGTAAGGCGGTTTCTCTCGCCGTTGCATTCTGACGCGTTGCCATATCGAGCAGATATGGACTGGTCGGCGCCCAAGGTTGCGGAAAGACCACGGTCCTCTACCTGATTATCGGGCGGAAGAGTCTCGACTCGGGCGAACTGTGGGTGCTGAACGACACCGGCCGAAATGTCACGCACGTTACCAAAACCAAGCCCAGAATCGGATTCATGCCCCAAGTAAGTCGCGTGACCATCGGGCGGCAAATTCGAAACCTTCCACTTGCAGGAAACGGCGCTGTACTGCGAGTTTACCATAATGGAGTTCATGCGCTATTTTGGCACGCTTACCGGATTACCTTCCGAACAGATTCGCTCGCAGATCAACTTCCTGGCCGACCTGCTTATCTTGCCAAGCGTCAATTCCAAAATTAAGCACTTGGATTATAGCGAAAAGAAGCGAGTCTCGTTTGGGTTGGCGCTGCTTCGCGAGCCCGAGCTACTGGTACTGGATGAGGCGACCTTTGGGTTGGACACCCTGTATAAGGAAATCATTTGGAAGCACCTTGTGTACCTTACGAGAAAGTTTAATGCGACCGTTATCATAACCAGTAGCGGTATCGATGAACTCCACAATGCGGATATCGTAAGTTATTCCTGAATATTAAAACACGGGCCTCCTCGGTGCGCCATATTCTGTTCTACTCTCAAAACTGATCTTTTTAATGGCAAAATAAACAATTTGTGTGCTGGATTGTCATCAGCGAATAACTAAAGACGAAGTAATTTATTAATAATAAATTTGTTGTCAAAATGCATTAATCTTATGAATGTATAATGAATCTTAATATGCACATGGATCTGAAACTGAACCTGAAACTGAGTATGAAACCTGAAATGTGCCTGCCACTGAAACTGAACCTGAAACCGAACCTGAAACTGAACCTGACCCTGACACTGAAGTTGAACCTGAACCTGAAACCGAACCTGAAACTGAACCTGAAACAAACTGAACCTGAAACTGAACCTGAAACCGAACCTGAAACAGAACCTGAACTAGAAACTGACACTGTAACTGAAACCGAACCTGAAACTGAACTAGAAACTGAACCACTGAACCAGAAACTGAAATTGAAACTGAACCTGAAACTAAACCTGATACTGAACCTGAACTAGAAACTGAAGCGGAAACTGACCCTGAACCTGAACCTGAAACCGAACCTGAAACTGAACCTGAAACAAACTGAACCCGAAACTGAACCTGAAACCAAACCTGAATCCGAACCTGAACTAGAAACTGAAACTCTAACTGAAACCGAACCTGAAACTGAACTAGAAACTGAACCACTGAACCTGAAACTAAAGTTGAAACTGAACCTGAAACTAAACGTGAAAATGAACCTGAAACTGAACTAGAAACTGAACCGGAAACTGACCCTGAACCTGAAACCGAACCTGAAACTGAACCTGAAACAAACTGAACCTGAAACCGAACCTGAAACTGAACTAGAAACTGAACCTGAAACAAACTGAACCTGAAACTGAACCTGAAACCAAACCTGAATCCGAACCTGAACGAGAAACTGAAACTGTAACTGAAACCGAACCTGAAACTGAACCACTGAACCTGAAACTAAAGTTGAAACTGAACCTGAAACTGAACTAGAAACTGAACCGGAAACTGAACTAGAAACTGAACCTGAAACAAACTGAACCTAAAACCGAACCTGAACCCGAACCTGAACTAGAAACTGAAACTGTAACTGAAACCGGACCAGAAACTGAACCACTGAACCTGAAACTGAAGTTGAAACTGAACCTGAAACTAAACCTGAAACTGAACCTGAAACTGAACTAGAAACTGAACCAGAAACTGACCTTGAACCTGAAACCGAACATGAAACTGAACTAGAAACTGAACCTGAAACAAACTGAACCTGAAACTGAACCTGAAACTGAACCTGAAACTGAACCTGAAACTGAACCTGAAACTGAACCTGAAACCGAACCTGAACTAGAAACTGAAACTGTAAATGAAACCAAACCTGAAACTGAACTTGAAACTGAACTAGAAACTGAACTAGAAACTGAACCACTGAACCTGAAACAAACTGAAGTTGAAACTGAACCTGAAACTAAACCTGAAACTGAACCTGAAACTGAACTAGAAACTGAACCGGAAACTGACCCTGAAACTGAACCTGAAACTGCACCCGAAATGGAACCTGAAACTGCACCCGAAACTGACCCCGAAACTGAACCCGAGACTGAACTCAAAACTGAACCTGACACTGCAACTAAACCTGAAACTGAATCGAACCAGAACGGTATCGTTTTTGTTTCTCAGTTTTGATCAATTCGTTCGGTCCCATCTTCTTTGGTTTATTTAGTCCTCCGCTTTCTCATGCAAAGGTTACAAAGATTCCGATGATTCCTAGTGGATTCCGAGGTCTCCAAATTCTCGAATCACTATATTTTAAAGTATTGTCCATCTAGAGGTCCTGGTGGGCGTGAGTTTACGGGGTTTCTTGATGGGTCGAGATTTTTAACTGTTACAGTCCTGATCCGGTGAGTTCTTGAGTTTTGGAGTAGGTAACTAAACTTTTGATTTCTAAATTCTTGAGCTCTCCAGGTCTTGGCCTGTTGTAGTTTGGAGTGCGTGAAGTTTTCGTGCCTTGACCTCTAGAGATGTACCTAAGATCTCGAATTCTCGAGTTGTAGAAATTGTAACCCCTCAGGACCTCTTTTAAGGGCGAGATTTAGCACCCTGAAGGCCTTGAAGTTCCTTAGAATCCTTGAAGATCTGGAAATTCTTGAAATACTTGAAATCCTTGAAACGCTTGAAACCGTTGAAACCCTTGAAATCCTTGAATCCTTTAAAACCCTTGAATCCCATGAAACCCTTAATACAATTGAAACCGTTGAAACCCTGGAAAAACCCTTAAAGCCCTTGGAACCTTAATACCCTTAAAACAATTGACACCGTTGAAACCTTGGAAACCCTTGAAACCTTTAAAACAATAAATTGAAACCCTTGAAACACTTAACAACCATAAAACCCATGAAAACCTCCAAGTTGTCAAAATTTTTCACATCTTTGCAATTCAAGGAATCCTTGAAATTCTTTAAAACCCCTGAGGGATTTCAACGATTTCAGGGAATCCGATTATTTTAAGGGATTCGAAGTTTTTTAGAATTTCGTCATTTCCATGTTCAAGAAAACGATAATTACATGTATTGGAGGGTCGAGGTCTTGATATCCTTTAAATCCTAGGAATTTCTGAAATCCTGGGAATATTCAAAATCCTCGGAATATTTAAAGTCGTTTAAATCTTTAAAATCCTTGAAACCCCTGAAACCCTTGATACGCTTGAAATCCTTGAAATCCTTAAAATCTCTGAAATCCAAGAAATACTTGAAATCCTTGAAATACTCGACATTTTTGAAATCCTTAAAACAATTTGAAACCCTCGAAACTCTTAAAACAATTGAAATCGTTGAAAGTCTACAAATCCTGGAAACCCTTGGAGCCCTTGAGACCCATAAACTTGAAACCCTTGAAACACTTAGGGATTTTTAGGATTTCAAGGATTCCAACGATTTCAAGGATTTCAGGCATTTCCAAGATTTCAAGTATTTCTAGGATTTCAAGAATTTCAAGGATTTCAAGCGTATCGAGGGTTTCAAGGATATCAAGGGTTTCAAGGTTTTCCAGGGTTTCAAGGGCTATAAGGATTACAAGGATTTCGGGGATTTTAAGGATTTCAATGATTTTAATGATTTCAAGGATTTCAAAGAATTCAAGGATTTCAAACATTTCAAGGATTTAAAGAATTTCAAGAATTTCAAAGAGTTCAGGGATTTCAAGGATCTTAAGACCTTGACACTTTAGAAAATTTAATGGATTTCAAGTGTAAAAGATTTCAAGGATTTCGAAGATTACTCGGATTTTTCGGATTTTGTGGTTTCCATGATTTCCAGTATATTGAAGAACAGGGATTCCAGTGGACATTCGAAAGATTCTGAAGATTCCAAATATTTTAAGAAATTCGAGAACTTCGGAGATATCGTTGGTTTCTCGAATTTCAAAGATTTTGAAAATTTCAACAATTTCAAGGATATCCAGGATTTCAAGGAATCCTATGATTTTAAGGGATAAGAAAGTTTTCCGAATTTCGCCATTTCCATGTTAAAAAAACGAAAATTCCAGGTATTCGAGGGTCGAGGTCTTGATATCCTTAAAATCCTTGAAATACTAAAAATTTTTGAAATCCTTGAAACGCTTGAAACCCTTAATACATTTGAAATCGTTGAAAGCCTTCAAATCCTGGAAACCCTTGGAACCCTTGAGACCCATAAACTTGAAACTCTTGAAACACTTAACAACCATAAAACCCATGGAAACCACCAAGTTGTCAAAATTCTTCACATGGAATTCAAGGAATCTTTGAAATCCTTGAAATTCTTGAAACCCGATCCTTACAACAGGGGTTTTTAGGATTTCATGGATTCCAACGATTTCAAGGATTTCAAGCATTTCCAAGATTTCAAGGATTTCAAGCGTATCAAGGGTTTCAAGGATATCAAGGATTTCAAAGATTTCAAGAATTTCAAGGATTTCAAGAATTTCGGGTTCAGGGATTTCGAGGATCTTAAGACCTCGACACACTCGAATTCAAGGAATCTTTGAAATTCTTGAAACCCAATCCTTAAAACCCCTGGGATTTTAAAGATTTTAAGGATTTGAAGCATTTCAAGTATTTCAAGGAGTTCAGGGATTTCGAGGATCTTAAGGCTGGGATCCTTCAATGTATTCTTTACATATGATTTTCAAATTAGGCCAGCTCCTAAACGAATTCATCAATCGCGAAGATTTTTTAGAACGTGTAAGATACATATTGAACTTAGGTCTGGGTATACATTAAAACTGAACTATTTACTTCAAACTTGCAAAAAATAAATAAATAATTTTGCGTGTCGCGTAAACTCGACTTTGTGAGGCTATAAAGTGTTTATTTCTAATAATTTAGTAATGTAATAGGTATCCACACCTAAGTTGGGGTCTTCTTCAATGATAACCGAAGAAATCATCTAAATTAATGCATTCGTTTGTTAATCAAAATTTATTTAACACGATTTAGTATATCTATTTTGTAACGGCCAAACGTTAACTAAAATTGATTTTGCTATTTTTTACCAGAGGCATCACTTACTCTACGTACGTAAGGTTGAAAATGGAACAATTTTTACGTCTCTTTCCCCGCTCCCGTTTTGCCGGGAAGCTAATTCTTATACTCCAGCCTTAAGACCAGGACACCTTAGAACATTTCATGGATTTTAAGGGTAAAAGGAATTCGAGATTCGAGATTTTCGGAGATACCGTTGGTTTCTTGGATTTCTAGGATTTTGAAAATTTCGACAATTTCAAGGACTTCGAGGATTTCAATGCCTGAAATCTTTGAAATCTTTGAAAACCTTGAAATCCTTCAAATTCTTGAAATTTTGAAAATTCTGGAAATCCTTAAAATTCCCGAAATCCTCGAAATTCTTGACATCCTTGAAATGCTTGAAGTCCTTCAAATCCTTCGAACCTTCAAATTCTTGGAATTTTAGATAATCCTGGAAATTCTTCACATCCATGAAATCTACGAAAGCCTTGAAACCATTGAATCCCTTAAAATCCTGGAAACCCTTGAAACCTTTGAAACCCTTGAAACTCTTATACCCTTGAAACCCTTAAAAGCCGTGAAACCCGTAATGCCCTTAAAATACTAGAAATGCTTGACATCCATAAAGAACATGAAATCCTCAAAGTTGTCAAAATCCTTCACATCTTTGGAATTCAATGAATCTTTAAAATCCTTCTAATTCTTGTAATTTTGAAAATTCTGGAAATCCTTGAAATTCTCGAAATCGTCGGAATTCTTAACATCCCTGAAATCTATGAAATCCTTGAAACCCTTGATACGTTTGAAATCCTGGAAATCTTTAATATCCTTGAAATCTTTGAAATTCTGGAAATCCTCGAAATCCTTGAAATCCTTAAAATACTTGAAATCCTTCAAATCCTTCAAATTCTTAAAATTTTGATAATCCTGGAAATTCTCGAAATTTTTGACATCTATGGAATCTATGAAATTTTTGAAACTATTGAAACCCTTAAAACCCTTGAAACCCTTGAAATCCTGGAAACCCTTGAAACTTTTGAACACTTGAAACCCTTAAAACCCTTGAAGCTCTTGAAATACTAGAAACACTTGACACCCATAAAGCGCATGAAATCCTCCAAGTTGTCAAAATCCTTCACATCTTTGAAATTCAATGAATCTTTAAAATCCTTGAAATTCTTGAAACCCAATCCTTCAAACCTTTGAAACCCATGAAATCCTTCAAATTCTCCGAAATACTCAAAATCCTTGAAAACTTTGATTCTCAATCATTGAAACCCATAAAACCCAAATTATCGGAATCCTTTACATCGAAATACATGCAACCCGAAATCCTTAAACTCAATCCTTAAAACCCAATCCTTGAAACCCATGAAATCCTCAAAATCCTGAAAATCCTGGGAAATTGGAATATTTCAAATCCTTCAAATTCTTGACATCCTTAAAATGTTTGAAACCTATAAAATCCTGAAAGTCGTCGAAATCCCCGAAATCCTTGAAATTTTCGAAATTTCTATAATTTGGGAAATCAAAGAAACCAGCGATACCACCGAAGTTCTCGAATTTCTTAAAATATTTGCAATCCTAGAATCTTTCGAATAACTGGAATCCTTGTTTTTAAAAATACTTGAAATCATTGAAATGACGAAATCCATGAAACCCTTGACACGCTTGAAACCGTTAAAACCCTCGAGACCATTAAAACCCTTGAAATATTTGAAATTCTTGAAACAAATGGAATCCTCCAAGTCGTCGAAATCCTTCACATCATTGTTTTCGATTTAATCTGCTTTTGCTAGATTCCTAATATCTCATCTTATCTTAAGGATTTTTTTAATACTTCGCTTCTTCGTTGTTATGATTTTTTTTGTTTTTTTATTTTGTCGACTACTTCGGGGGTTCGATTTAAAATCGATCAAACTCCATTTTCCTCCACAACTTCCTTGGATTGGTTCATATAAATATCAGCATGTTTTACGTGTCTTTTTTCTACCCACATATCCATATAATTTAAAACACTTCTACCTCTCTGTCACAGCGGTTATTAGAAATGGCAACACGGTCGAAGTCGCTCTTAATACACCCTGCGTTTAATTCTAAACGGACACCGTTTATAGTTCTTATATCTAAACATATGTTTGTTCATGTTTAATATGAAGCGGTGTATGTGTCAATTTCTCTATTAATAATAGAGTATCAAACGCAATTTTCAGATCGGCATCATGCGGAAAGGTCTGTTGGTAGCGGAAGGCTCACCGGAAACACTTCTGTCGCGATTCGAAGTGGAGACTCTGGAATGTACATTCGCAAAGCTGAGCACCCAGCAGGATAATCGCGGTGTCTCAAATACGAGGGCCCACTTCAACAACTTCGGACTCGAGACGGACTACGTCGCCAGATACATTGTCGGCGATTATTTGACTGATAAGAACAGGGGGCACATCAAAGTGCTCGTATGGAAGAACTTCCTGTGGTTCATACGCTACTGGCTAACGAACCTCTCCCTGATCGCGATCCCCCTCATCCAGTGCGCCATACTCTTCATCTGTTACGGCCGGCCGCCGACTGACCTGGACGTTGCCGTCGTTAACTACGAATCGAGTCAGCGAGACTGCAAGCCCATCTCGTGCGAAAACCCCCACGTGGCTTGCAATTACGTGAGCTACGTCGCGGATCACTTCATCAATCTGGTAAGCGTGCAAAAACCCGAGCGACTTTGCTAAAGTGTTCGAGCGCCTAGGTCGACTACCAATCGGAAACCGAGGCGTTAGCGTCGGTAATATCGGGACGCCACTACGCCTCGGTTGTCCTCCGCGAGAACTACACCGCAGCTCTAAAATCGCGGATGAACTCCTGGCAGGACGCCGACAACTGGGACATCTTCCATTCGATAATCGACGTCACGTGCGACTTTAGCAGTTCGTATTAATCGCAAATGAGTTTAACACCTACGTCTAATTTTTAGAGGCCAACATTGGAACGTTCCTAAAGTTGCACTTTCACAAGGGCTTCCGCCAATTCATGAAGGAGTACATGGCCGCGTGCCAACGCAACAGGAACGATGTCTCGCTACCCTTTCAGGTGAGTGCCGCGAGTTGATGCTGGAATGTAACTTGATCGTTTACAGTGGAAAAATGACGTCTACGATATCATGAATCTTGGCATGACTCAGTATTCCTCACCAGGGATTCTGCTAACGACAATATTCCTGCTTCCGGTCGGGCTGACCGCGTTCTCGCTCATGTCGGAGAAGAGGGAGGGTGTTCTAGATCGCACTTTGAACGCCGGCGTTCGCCTGAAGGAGATACTCATCTCTCACCTTATTTCAAATGTGGTCATCATGGTTTTGCTCTCCTTGACCATTACGGGCACCACGATCTATCTCCTGAACTTGACGGTAAACGGACCGATCGTTCTTGTCGGTGCCCTGGTACTACTGACGGGATTTTGCGGAATATGCGCCGGTGAGTGTCGATCGCGAGATCGCTTGAGTTGATGATTTTCTGTGCAGGTTACCTCCTGTCACTGACGTGCAAGTCGGAATCGTCCGCGATTTTGATTCCGCTCGCGTCTTACGTACCGTGCGTTTGCATGAGTGCCATACTGTGGCCGATCCAGGGAATGGTCTCGGCGTTACGTCCGCTTGCGTACGCACTTCCACTCACGGTGCCAGTTGAAGCCTTGAGAAGTATTATGGAGGGAGGCTGGGGGTTGACGAACACGATGGTGTGTTTGGGATTCGTTACAATAATCTTGTGGATTATAGTTTTTGTTGCTATTTGTTATTTCTTAGTTAGGCAAAAAGATTAAACTATTATATTGATAAAAGTCAACTCCATACTACAGAAAAGGCAAATAGAGACACCGCAGTTTGCAGTACATGACGATAATGAGCCTCCCAATTATCATGAAATTAATGAAAATGAATAGAGGACACCTTAATAATGCGTTTTGAATTAAAAAATTTGCGGAAGAAGCCCTAAATTTTCCACAACCTTAACTAGAAGTTCACTTTATTTTCGGGAAATGGTGATTTTATATTTCGTCATTCTTAAGTTGGCGAAACTGAATAATTTTATTTGACAGCTTTCTTTATTTTGATTTTCTTTTATCACAGCCGTCTATAATTACAAGCCATGCACTAGTTTTTTTTCACTAATTTCGTTATTATCCCCTGTATCATCCCAGCGGCAAAAGTTACCTGCACTTTTCCAGCGACAAATACACTAGTGGTTTTTTCACTATTCATTTTCGATCCAATTATCGCATTATCCTTTCCCATATGACTAGTTTGACGTCTGTCAATAATTGATTAGTTTGGTGAATTTCTTGTTCGTTAAATTGTCCTGCCGAATTACACTCGAGGTTTGTATTTAAACCGAGTAAATTTGGGTTGTTGCAACTCAAATCTGTTTCCTTTTAGCAATTGAACTCGAAACGAAAAACTGTCAACCTAAAAATGCTCCACCTGCGGTGTCGCATTTATATTAGTTGACAGTTTTTCTCGTCTAATTGCTAGGCAGATTTTCATTACCTAAACAACCCAAATTTACTCGGTAAAATACAAACCTCTTGTGCAATTATAAGTGATAAAAGTGAAGTACTTCGATTACTAATTTTCCATACCGACAGACGTTTGTGGCTAAAGATGAGATGTCCGATTTCAAAGTTCAAACTATGAGTACCATTGGCGTAAATAGAGACACAGTTTGAAAATACGTTAACCTTTAAAAACAAAGCAGACACTTTGCAACCCAATTGCAACCTTTTAGCGGGTACATGACCATAATAATCCTCCCAGGTATGATCATAAAATTAATGAAAATGGATAGAGGGCAGCTTAATAATGCATTTTGAATAAAAAAAAACTTGCGGAAGAAGCCCTAAATTTTCCACAATCTTAATTAAAAGTTCACTTCATTCTCTGGAAATCTGGTGTTTTTATATTTCGTCATTCTTAAGTTGGCGAAACTGAAAAATTTTATTTGACAGCTAAAGTTTTCTTTAATTCATTTCATTTATATAGATGACAGCTAATTTTTGTAGGAGGTTATGTGAACTTCTTCATCCTTGGAGTATCGTTCTGAGTCTTCATCTACTAAATTGAAATATGCTGGGTTTAACGTTGTAATGATCTTAGCCTCCTACTATCTTGGCGGTCTAACGCCAACTACAAGTCAAGCCGGGATGCGTATACTATCGCCAAAGCATTGAGCACTGCAGAAAATGGACCGCTCAGTGCTGTACAATACATTGGCAATCCGCCGGGATATTTGACCATATTCTGTAGTAGCGGGGACGCCAAACTAACATGGCTGCCTATTTGAATATTCTCGCTTAAGTTTTCCGCGAGAATCTGTCACTCGGGGGCCACTCCGAGTGCACTAAGATCGTGATCGTCATGTAGGACACCTACGTTGTGTAATAACTGGGTTCTCAGCAGGCACTGAGGGCGTTTTATGGGTAAGGAACACCAAAAAGCAATAGCTGATTAAGATTATATTGAAGCTAATACCAATACCAATACGACGCCCCTGCAGAGGGTCTTAAGTGATTCTATACTACTCTGCATTTCCCTTACGAATTAGGAAAACTGCAGGAAAACCTAATTCGGAGTAGTCCTATAATGAACAAAGCCTACAGCTAACATCTAATGTACAGCACTTTTGAGCCCTCTCGAAACCGGGGTAAATACTACATACACGCTATGAGTAACCAAAATGGAATCGAGCCATTCCCCAGGTATTACAACACATACATCAGACAAAACTAAGAGATATTAAATATGCCTCGCCGGACGGTAGGATTACCCAGGCCCAGTGGGGTGCCTGTAGACGTGGGCTAAAGTTGTTGGGTTTCGGAACGAGTGAAAATGTTAGTGTTAGGTTCACCAAGGCCCGTATAAACTTGAATAACTCGATCCCCTCTAAACAAGCACACTTCCCTCTTGATTACTCACAGCCCCAAATAAGCAAATATAATGAAATGCAATGCAATAATCGAGAGTGACTAAAAAGCACAATACACAAATATGTACACATGCAAGTATGTACAGCACAGGATACAGCCCTACCGCCAATGAGACATGATTGCCAATACCTACCAACAAAGGTTACACATTAGAGGTACAAGTGAATGAATCCAGTAAGTACATAAGTAAAGGGTTACAATCTGCATTCAAGTTACACACATTTATAGATTAATGGAATAAAACAAATACCTCACCTGATATAAATAGCAAAAGCACACAGCAATGATTAAGGTATAACAACATATTTCAAGGCAAGCCGTACTTTACACTTAAGCCAAGAAAAAGACCATGAACACACAATCATGTTAAATCGTATTTATTGACTACCCCAAGCGACTCTGTAACTTGATCCTCGAGATATTCTCAAAATCCTTGAAATCCTCGAAATTCGTGAAATCCTTGAATTCTTGTAAATCCTTAAAACCCTCGAAATCCTCGAAATACTTGAAATCGTAGAAATCCTCCAAATCCTTGAAATCCTTGACTTTGTTGAAAGCCTCAAAATTCTCGAAATCCTCAAAATCCTCGAAATGCCCGAAATCCTCTAAATCCTTTAAGTAATTGAAAACCTTTGAAATCCTCGAAATCGTGGAAATCCCTCGCAAACTCTTCAAAATTCTTGAAATCCTCAAAATTCTCAAACTATAAATCCTAGAAATTTTCAAAATCCTTCAAGTCCTCGAAATTCCCGAAATCATCGAAATCCATGAAAAATCCTCGAATTCTTCGAAATTCTCAAAATGCCCGAAATCCTACAAATACTCTAAATCCTTCAAATCCTTGAAATTGTTCCTTCAAATCCTTGAAATACTTGAAATCGTAGAAATCCTCAAAATCCTCGAAATCCTTGAAATCCTCGAAATTCTTGAAAGCCTCGAAATCCTCGAATTACTCGAAACCCTCGAAATTTTCAAAATCCTTGAAATCCTTGAAATTCCGAAAGTTTTTAAATTTCTTGAACTTTATGAAATCGAAATTGAAATCCTTGAAATCCTTGAAATTCCTAAAAACCTTGAAATTCGGAAAATTTTTGAATTTCTTTAACTCTTTTAAATCCTTGAAATTGTCCTTGGAATCCTTGAAACCCTCGAAATCTTTGAAATCCTCGAAACCTTCGAAATCCTCGAAATTCTTGAAATCCCTAAAATCCTTGAAATTCCGTAAATTTTTGAATTTCTTGAACTCTGTGAAATCCTTGAAATTGTCCTTGGAAACCTTGAAACCCTTGAAATCTTTGAAATCCTCGAAATCTTCGAAGTCCTCGAAACCCTTGAAATCCTTGAAATTTTTGAGATTGTTCCTTGAAATCCTTGAAATCCTCGAAATCCTTGATATTCTTGAATTTCTTGAAAGCCTCAAAATTCTCGAAATCCATGAAAAATCCTCGAATTCTTCACAATCCTCGAAATTCACAAAATGCCCCAAATCCTCCAAATACTCTAAATCCTTTAAATCCATGAAATTCTTCCTTGAAATCCTCGAAATCCTTGAACTACTCGAAATCCTTGAACTACTCAAAATCCTTGAAATCCTCGAAATCTTCCTAAATACTCGAAACCCTTGAAATACTTGAAATTTGTGAAATCCTTGAAATTCTTCAAATCTTTCAAATCCTTGAAATCTTTGACATCTGCGAAATTTTCGAAGTCTAAATACTCGAAACCCTTGAAATTATTGAAATCCTTGAAATCTTTCAAATCCTTGAAACTCGGAAAATTTTTGAATATCTTGAATTCTTTAAAGTCCTTAAAGGTCCCCGAAAACCTTGAAAATCTTGGAAATCCTCGAAATTCTCGAAATCCTTGAAACCCTCAAAATTCTTGAAAGCCCAAAAATCCTCGAATTACTCAAAATCCTTGAAATTTTCAAAATCCTTGAAATCTTCGAAATCGAAATTCTCCAAATCTTCGAAGTCCTCGGAATCCTTGAAATTCGGAATATTTTTGAATTTCTTAAGCTCTTTGAAATCCTTGAAATTGTCCTTGAAATCTTTGACATTTTTGAAATTCTTGAAATCCTTCAAATCTTTCAAATCCTTGAAATTCAGAAAATTTTTGAATATCTTGTACTTTTTGAAATCCTTGAAATTGTCCTTGAAATCCTTCAAATTTTCCAAATCTTCGAAGTCCTCTAAATACTCGAAACCCTTGAAATCCTTGAAATTTTTGAAATTCTTGAAATCCTTCAAATCTTTCAAATCATTGAAGTTCGGAAAATTTTTGAATGTCTTGAACTCTATGAAATCCTTGAAATTGTCCTTGAAATCTTTGAAATCTTCGAAATACTCGAAACCCTTGAAATTATTGAAATTTTTGAAACCCTTGAAATACTTGAAATCCTTAAAATCCTCGAAATGATGGAAAACCTTAAAATTCTTGAAATTCTTGGGAACCTTGAAATCCTTGAAATCCTCGAAAGCGTCGGAATCCTCAAAATCCGCGAATAACTCAAAATTTTCAAAATCCTTGAAATCTTCGAAATTTTTGCAATCGAAAAAATCCTTGAAAACAGGGATTTGATCTTTGAAATCTTTAAAATCCTCGAAACACTTCAAATCCTTGAAATCTTTGAAATGGTGGAAATCCTCGAAAGCGTTGGAATCCTCAACATTCTCGAATTACTCAAAATTCTCAAAATCCTTGAAATCTTCGAAATTCCCGAAATCCTTGAAATTCTTGAAATCTTTGAAATGGTGTAAATCCTTGAAAACGTACAAATCCTCGAAATCTAGAAAGCGTCAGAATCCCCGAAATTTTCGAACTACTCAAAATCCTCAAAATTCTCACGATCCTTAAAATCTTCAAAATTTTTGAAATCCTTGAAATCCTTGAAATACGAAATATGTGATCCATTTGCTTTCGATTTGTTGGAGCTGCCATTGCATATAACAACGTCACAAAGATTTCGAACGAAAATTTAAACACCAATCAAATGGGACTCTAAATTTACGAGGCAACGGAACCAAAACTATATACATAAAAATTAACACGTCTGATGAAAGCTATCTGGTGGTCGAGAATATACTGGAATACGGTTCTGGTAAAGTCACTAAATATAGAAAGTACCGCAATCCATTGGGCTCGTGTGTTAGAGAAAGAACGCTTGATTTTTGCCCAAAAATGGCGGAAGTTACCAGATTCTAGTAACTTTAATGTTAGGGATTGTTCCACTAGTTTGGAGATATCTGTATATATTTTTATAAAACATGACAGTACTATGAAGTTATGTTATAAAAAATGACAGCTATTCAGATTTTATTTGTCAATTTTTTTAAGTTGGCAGCAAATTTGCCCAAAAATGGCGGATGATTGCGGTACTTTCTATATCTAGTGACTTTAGGTTCTGGTATCAATTAATCTCGGAAATGAATTTCTGGTCGGTTAGTGAGCTCTGGCATACGAATTCACGCTTTTATATGGACCAGGACGAGCACAAACAAGTGGGAAAATATAATTTCAAGGGACCATAACAAGCGACATCTAACGTAGGAATCTTATTGCAGGGATTTACAAATAACATGTTTACTTTTCAAAGTTTTCTTGCAACCTTTGGCAAACAAGCGTACGTATGTATCCGACTTGACAGTGACAGATTGATTTTTATCTCCCGTCAAAATTTTCGGTGCACTTCACAGAGGCATAAAAAATGATTTGCAGCTGCTGCCGCCTTCAAAAGCATCCGTGCGGCAGAACGAATTCGCTCGAACCTCTCAAAGTGGCTGTTACCGGGGCGGCGGGTCAGGTTGCGTACTCGCTGCTCTACATCATCTGCAAGGGGGACGTTTTTGGTTCCGATCAACCGATCCACTTACACTTAATAGACACGCCGGCGAAGGTGGATGTTGTAAATGGCGTAGCGATGGAGTTGGCCGATTGCAACTTTGGCCTGTTGAAAAAGACGGTCGCCACTTCCAGTCTGGACGATGGATTCAAAAACGTTTCGGTCGCATTTTTGGTCGGTGGCAGTCCGCGCGCTGCGGGTATGAGTCGATTCGATTTACTCGAGAGGAACGTTCCCATTTTTATGGAACAAGGCGAAGCTTTGGACAAATTCGCCCGGAAAGACGTTAAGGTTTTAGTTGTTGCCAATCCGGCGAACACGAACGCATTTATTTGTGCTCGGCACGCGCCGTCGATACCGGTCGAGAATTTTACGGCACTAACCAGGCTCGATCAGAAGAGGGCGCACGCGCTGATTGCGAAACGTGCCGGCGTCTCTGTCTCTAGTGTACGTAATGTCATTATTTGGGGCAATCACTCCTCCACTTTGGTCCCGGATGCGACCCATGCCAAAGTGGAACTTAACGGCGAAATGGTCTCGGCGGCGGTCGCCGTGAAAGACGAAACCTGGCTGAAGGGCGAGTTTATTGATCTGGTGCAGAGAAGAGGGGAGGCCGTGATATCGGCGCGCGGTTCGTCGTCGGCCGTTTCGGCGGCAGATGCAGCCGCCGACCACATGCGTAAGTGGGTTATGGGCACGGACCCTTGCGAGTACGTTTCCATGGGGGTTATTAGCGACGGAAGTTATACGGCCCCCAAGGACGTGGTCTTCTCCTTTCCGGTCACGGTGAGAAACGGAAAGTGGGGAATCGTAAACGGGCTCGATCTGGATGACTCATATCTCAATATGATCGCCGAAAGTGGAGAAGAGTTAGAAGACGAGCGGGAGGCTGCCCTGTCGGTACTGCGAGGGTGCAATGTCAATTGCAAGTTGATGTGCGGGGACGATTGTGACTAGAAATAAAGTGTTTGCACGGATAGTAAGGGAATTTTTCTATTTTCCATTCAACTCCTGGCTCTACGCCAAATTCACTGAAATGAAATCAACACAGCAACGTTTAAAAATGGCCACCGGAAAGGCTATAGAATTAAACCGCAAAACTCAAAGTCAAGGGTTAAAACCTATGATACAAGACTCTGTGCTCAAAGGTTCAAGATAAAATTTCCTTATTACAACTAAAACTCAAGGCTCTGGTCGGGAAATTCATGACTCAATACTCAAAACCAATCATCAAGGCTTAATAGACTTTAGACTCAAAATTCAACGTTTAGAACCCAAGATTAAAGAGTCAATTCTAAAAAAGTAACACTCAAAAATTAATTCTCAAAGGTCAAGACTGATAGCTCAAGAATCAACACTCAAGACTTTTACGTTTTTTACATTTATGGCCCAGCTTTTACTATCCAAGACTCAATGGTCAAGGCTGAAAGACTAATATTTAATCCTCAAGGCCTAACGTTTCCTAAGAGTCAATACTCGAGATACTGTTTTCAAGGCTCAAAACCCAAGACTGGCGATTCAAAAATAAATACTTAAGGTTTAAAACACAAGACTCAAAGCTGGTTACACCCAATACTCAAAAAAGGTTCGAATCTCATGGTTAAAAGATTCACAATTCAAAGCTCAATGCATAAGAATTAAACCTCACAACTCAAGACTCATGTCCTAAGACCCATGACACAACACACTTTGTGCTCAAAGTTCAAGGCTCTAGACGAGATTTTCTATTCAAGACTCATATTAGTCAAGGTCGACTCAAATCTAAAAACTAAAGACCCAAAACAACACTCAATACCCAAGATACAACACTTATAAGGCGCAGGATTTAAGACTGATGGAGACTCATGATTCAATATGAAGGCTCAGGAGCTAAAACTCAAAGCTCAACAGAGAGGACTCATAATCATTAAGGCTTTTTTTACGATTCAAGACTCAAAATTCTAAAAAACAGGTTCAAGACTCACTGTTAGATCCAAAGTTCGACACTCAAGTCCCATTACAGAAAGCTCAGCTCAAGACCCAAGACAAGATTTTCTGTACAAAACTACTGATTACCTAAGGTGTTAAATTAATAAAACTCAAATCTCAATGATCCAAAGACTAGTTCGCGGCTCATTCCTCAATATGCAATACTTTAAAGCTCCAGATTCAAGGTTCAGTACTAAAGGCCCAAAAGTCAACACTCAAGATATTGTATAAACTTTATTACATAATTACTTACACTAGTTATATAAGTATTACATTTGTGTATTAAGAGTAGATGTCTTCAAATATGTGTCTTAATCACAAATGTCACATTTAAAATCTTTAGATTTGTGTTTTAAATTTTCCTTTTCTATAGGTGGCTTCACATTTAAAATCTTTGTGTATTAAGACATGTTTTCTCAAATTGCCTTTTCTCTTTGTGGCATAATCACAACTGTCACATTTAAAATATTTGAATTCATTGTGTTTTACGATGTGTAGCTTCAAGAGGTCTTTTCTATATGTGGCATAATCACAAATTTCACATTTAAAATCTTTAGATCGATTGTGTATTAAGACATGTTTACTCAAATTACCTTTAGTATATGTGGCATAATCACACAAGTCACATTTAAAATCCCTAGATCGCTTATGCATTATGAGATGATTTTTCAAATTTCCTTTTCTATTTGTGGCATAATCACAAATGTCACATTTTAAATATTTGGATTGATTGTGTTTTAAGGTATGTAGTTTCAAATGGTACCTTCTATTTGTGGCATAATCACAAAGTTCACATTTGAAATCTTTAGATTGATTGTGTATTAAGACATGTTTACTCAAATTACCTTTAGTATATGTGGCATAATCACACAAGTCACATTTAAAATCTATAGATCGATTATGTATTACGACATGTTTCCTCAAATTACCTTTACTACAGGAGGTATAGTCACACATGTCACAATTAAAGACGTTAGCAGTTTCGTGAGTCAAAAGGTGTCTCTTAAAATTTTGTTCACTACCTGCCACGTAATCACAAACTTTACATTTAAATTGTGCAGTCTGAGATTTAATATTTGACAAATAATGTTGTTGTTGCTGCATTCCGTCGCTACTGGGTGTAGTATTCTGTTCTCCTTTTACAGTTACCAAAAACTCATTACTTAAAACCATGTTTCTCTCTAGGGACAAATTTATTTCTTCTTCTTGTTCTGGTTTAATTTTCAAAATATGGTCATCCATGACTATCGGTAAGAACTATTTTAAGTTATACGGCCACACAACATTGGGTTACCTGGACGAATGTAATGCCTTGAAAATAAATCACTAATAACACAACATAACTATCCTAGTTTTGCATGCTTCTCGATTTAGTTTTGAACATAACCTAAATTCTATACGTTAGATACCGAGAGGCCATTATGGTTCGATGGAAATAAAACCTAAGACCATACAGTAAATGGTAATGGACTGTTATTACTTTATTAGCCCTAGCCATATGCAACTGACAATTCGCTTAATTAGACATTTGCCCTTCAATGTTGGCCGCTAATTCCGAATGAACACAATTTCAATCATGCTATTTGAATTTCAAGTCATTGTTGATTTTACTTTCTCTTTTCTCTCTGCGAAAGCTAATTAGTTTCAAGATAAGCACGTGTCAGGGGCCGTTGTAGGTATTATGTTACAAAACGTTTTGCCAGCTGTAGAGTTTTGTAGAAGAAAGTGAGTTGGGTGCTCTAACAGATTTTTATCACGCCCCCGTCCAATGGGCTAAGTCAGATTTTTACTCTGCCTGGCTTTGCGCCGATCTCGCTTTATGAAATAATTCCCGAGAAGAGTGCGATTTTTGGCTTCTGGTCCATGAGACGCAATGGGACCGTAGTGGTTAGCGCGATGGTGGGGCGTGGTTTCCCGTCCAGATTCACTTCGCGGTAACCGAAGCGACGTTTTGCATCACGTAACGCTTCGTATAGTCCATTTGTTATTACTTTCCCGATATGTGATTACCCCCACCAAATGCAGCTTTAACTTTTTTTTGCCTCACGTCGTCTATTTAAAAATAAACAATTCTCTCAAACAAATTGTTGACGTGCAGAAGTAGAATGAACAAAATAACGCTACGGGTAAGCGATTCTAGGTCGTATCGCTTACGTTAATGAATGTTAATTGAAGTAAATTTCGCTTGCATCCAGTTTTTGTTTACAGAAATGCTGTTTACGTCTACCTCCACGTCAACAATAACGCGTTGCAGTTTGTTTGAGAGAATTGTTTATGTTTAAATAAACAACGTGAGGTAAAAAAAGTTAACGCTGCATTTAGTGGGGTGCGATCCCGATATTAACAAAATGGGTCGAAATCTCGACGCGGTAGGGGCCACGGTATCGGTGAGGAAGAAACCTACTTGCGCGGCACTCGCGTTTTCGCGGCAATTCGATCGCCCCAACTGGTCTGGGTTTCGTGACGTTGTTGGTATCATCTGAGCCGGTGATCTTCATTCCTCCTTTGCGTGTCCTAAGTGTTTGCAGAACGCGCACCTCAGTTTGTCATAGGCGTGCTGAGGATGGGCTGCTTTTCCACGTCAACACACCAAAACAAAAAACAGGACCAACTTTATTGACCACTCTGTACTTCCGGTAGCATAATTAAGCATTTTAGGTTATGTTCAAAACTTCCAATCTTTACTAAAATCAAGCTAAGGCTGTGCTAGTAGTGATTCATTCACCTTTGTGAAGGTAACCCAACGTTTGTGACTATATAACTTAAAATAGTTCTTCTTGTAGATAGTCATGGATGATGTTATTGTTAAAATAGAACCAGAACAAGAAGATGAACTAAATTTGTCGCTCGAAAGAAACATTGTTGTCAGTAATGAGTTTTTGGGAACTGTACAAGAACAGAATACTACACCCAGTGCAGAACATTGTAGCGACCAGTGCAATGGCGACGAAATGCAGCAACAAGAATGTTGGTCAAATATTAATTCTCAGGCTGCAGAATTTAAATGTGTAGTTTGTGATTACGTGGCAGGTAACGAACGGAATTTTAAAAGGCACCGTTTCATTCACGAAACTGCTAACGTATTTAAATGTCACAATTGTGATTATGCCACAAATAGAAAATGCAATTTGAGCAATCATGTCATAATGCACAATCGGTCTAAAGAGTTTAAATGTGAACTCTGTGATTATGCCTCACATAGAGAACACAATTTGAAAATACACACCGTAAAACACGCTCAATCCAAATTTTTTAAATGTGACATTTGTGGTTATGCCACATATCGAAAAGACAATTTGCAACAGCATATCTTAAAACACGATAAATCTAAATTGTTTAAATGTGACATTTGTGACTATACCACTTATAGTAAAGGCAATTTGCAAATTCACGTCGTAATACACAATCGATCTAAGGATTTTAAATGTGACTTTTGCGATTATGCCACACACGCCAAATGCAATTTGAGTAAACACGCCTTATCGCACAATCGATCAAAAGATTTTAAATGTGAAAATTGTGATTATTCCACATATAGAAAGGACCTTTTAAAACAGCATATTGTAAAACACGATCAATCCAAGTGTTTTAAATGCGGCACTTGTGATTTTGCCACAAATAGAAAAGGAAATTTGAAAAATCATGTTAACTTTAAACATAAATCGGTCTAAATAGTTCAAATGAGAACTATGTCACATAATTTAAAAGCCATTTGGATTAATATACAAATGAATTTATAAAACTAGTGTGGTAATAAAGTTTGTACAATCCGCAGCATTTCTTATTTTATTATGCACCCTTTGACCCCAAAAAACAATACAGTAACCAAATTTTGGTGTAAACAGCCCCATTTGTGAGACTACCCTGTACATTGTAGTGTACTTAACCCCGTTCTACGCTAACTTCACACTACAAGAACATGGAAATAAAGTCAACCCGGAAACGTTTAAAAATGGCCACCCGAATGACTATTCCCTCCAAAACAAGATCCCGCTTAAATTTGAAAAGTGGCACGTGATCAAACATCTAAGGCAGGACGCCCTTTCGTTAGTTGTAGACAACGCTTTGATCTGAAGCACAGTAGGGAAGGAACGTTAAATAAAACACTGAAATTGTGAAAAGTTTGTTTAATAATGATCGCAATTATTATTGATTGTAAAAGCTCGGAAATTTAAGTCCAAAATAAATTACATTGCAAAAATGGTAGTTCACCGAATCAAAATTGAAATAGGCTGGGAAAAAAAGAACTTACCAATAAAAAAACCAGCCGTCAAATTAATATCAAATTGTGTTGTAAAATTAATTGTTTGTAATGATGTGAATGCGTAACATAAAATTATAACATCACAAAAAGTAGCAGGTAAACTTCAAGAGGTAACATAATTATAAAAAATAGAATAACGGTATTAAACATGTCATTCTACATTGCGGTTAAATCAAGTAAATTTCAAGATCAAAGATAATAATACAGCATACAAAACACAAATACGATATAAAGAAATGCAAAAATTACTACCTGCATTAAATAACACAAAGTAACAACAAACATTTATGGAGCGACGCGTTCACGACCGCCATTCAAGACAAGATGCCAAACGTACCCCACGTTCGTGCTTTCTAGATGACGCAGCAGCTTTTCCCCACCTAGAAATTGCATGGTTGCCAACTCTCAAAAATGTGGGCATCGTCGTAAGTTGTATATACATGGTGAAATTTCTCAACTTCTAAATCCAATTAAAATCGCGTTTATACCTATGTGTTCTAAGCAACTATAAAATGAAGCCCATTAAAAAGCTCCCTTCACATGGCTGTAACTTTTGTTTCCTTGGTTATCGGATCGACAAACCATTATAAATATTTACTGTTACATAATTAATAATTGTAATTGCTGTAATGTTTGTGGTGCATGGAACATTTTTGTTTGTTTTTGTTTACAGGATCAACAAGCCACCCTGTAAGCTATGTTTTCGATCTTACCTTCGGGAAGGTCAACTGGGCTAGCCGGAAAGAATTATTTAATTAGTTAAGAATTATAATAAATAATAGATAGGCAACCATAGTTGCACCCGCTGGTCTGAATTGGGATGACCGATTGCGGAGACACCGCCGACTGTAACTAAAAGGTCGAAGCTGGTATGTTACGAGTTGTAAGTTGCCGACTCTGGTAGCGAACAAATGAATTATGTGTTTTAGTTTGATAATAATAATCAAGAAGCACATGTATTTATAAGAATAAGTTTTATTGAACACAGTGTACCTGAATGCGAAAACATCTACGTTAAGTGGTTAGGCAACACATGATACACTCTAAACATCACGATTAAGATTTGGCTACTTTTTCAGAAAGAAAAAGTCATCATTCCACACGATTTTTTTTTATTTTTTTAGGATTTTGGATCAGTGTTAAAACTAGCTCCCTGGCGGAGAAGGATTCAACTAAATTAACTATATTTTGGTTGATTCTTGTCACCCAAAGAATGCTTTTTCAACCATACCAAATTTGTTAAAATCGGTCAAACGGTTAAGAAGTTAAAGCAGGTTATTGCCAAAGCAATTGAACGCCCCACACCATCTTTGTTTTTAAAATAACTGAGTTTTTGTTTTTACAAAAATGATAGATAGGTTCTCTTTAAAAATGTGAAAAAAGAATGTTTAGTTTATTATGCGAAATTTAAAGAAAATGCAATTTTTAAATTTAAGATGGCAGTTACGCCCTCTGTTGGTCATTTTTAGAACTTGAAAATATTTTCCAGTTAATCTTCATGACCGATTTACCCAATAAGTTTTTTTCCTCCTAAGTCATATGACGAATGGTTCTCGAGATATGGCCGAGGAACAGTCTTATTGGGTCACCCGGTACGAACACTACAGGAATCGGACCTAAATGAAATATCGGTTCCGGTCCTGTTTATATTTAAGCGAAAATAATTATAACGGTTCCGGTCTGGTTTCGATTCTAAAAAGAAATAACCGATCGGTTCTGCGAACAGTTTTTTTTACACTGAGAAACAATGGGTTATTGAAATGACTTCAGCTGTGTGTAGCGTAGTGCAAGTAAAGTGATTCTTGAATTTGGGCGTTATTTTCTTTCAATGTAAAGGTTATTCCTATTTTAATTTTTTTGAGATTGGCCAGTTAGTAATTTTCATTTGTTTGCTTTAACTCATTTGGATTGATTAGTGAATTCAATTCTTTGCGTACGAATCGGCCTTCTTTTGAGTGTAATTAACCTTATCGCCCTTGCAAGAGGTATATGCCGAAGTGATAAACATACCTAGCGGCATTTATCTTGAACTACAACTTTAGTTTAAGGTTACCGTATCTAGGACCTTCAGATACATACCGAATTGGAGGATATCCGGATCCGGATAATTAACGATGCATTTTGTATGTACTTTATGTAAGAGACCAGAAGAATGTATTCTTTTACACAGGGGAAAGGATTGAAGGTGCTTTTAAGCTACTTGTGATAGCCATTCTTTAACTTACTTATCAAGTTTTGTATTGGATTAACGTCAGATTTCATTTATTCAAATTCAAGGGTTACTTATTACTCGGATTATTATTAGTCTTTGTATATTGTAGATGTGATTTGATTCATTTTACACTTTTGATCAGTTATTCAATCAACTTTATTTTTGCGTTCCACCTTTCCGATAATTAGCATGGGTACTCGTACCCGTACCTTTTTCCTATCTTCTTCTGCAGGAAAAACTGAAAAATCACCACATTAGTAAACCACGCTCGGGGATGTCGCCCGGATGTCACCGACCCCACATCATGTAGCCCCGCCCCTAAAGAGTTGGTAATCATGCGGCTTGGTAGGTACAAGTATACTCCTCATCTTTCTACAAGCGATCTTCTACGGGGTCTCATTTGCTGCCATCCAGCTAGCCTGCCGGCCAAAGTGAGATTAAAAGCCACCGTTTTAGAAATAAATTTGGAAAAAATGCGTTAAAAAGAGATAATTACAGAAAAAGTTAAATCACTGTTTGCTGCTAAACAATGGCCTAGGTCCTAGACGGTCCTAAAATTGTCGTCTAACTTCAGATTCAAATTCAATATGGCCATAGCTTTCACCATTATAATAATCAATGCCAAAATTGAGTCGAGTCGATTCAAAATTCACAGCGCCCTTTTCGCATCTCGACTAATTATAAACCGAATTGTAAACTTTTTTATGGAAGCATTTAAATGAAATTTGATACATAGCCACTTGAAACAAAGGAAAATCTAACGTTAGTTTCAAAATTTAGGTTTGCGCATGCGCAGTGTCAACTTTCTTATTTATGAAAGCATTGAAATGAAATTCTTCTTATAAACTGAAATTGAAGTAGGACTTCAAAATGGATTGCACATAACGCTATCTTTCATATTTGTGGCCGGATTTTTACGATTTTAATAAAAGTTACATCTGACAAATGAGAAATGAATGCATAAGTGGAAATGCGCTTTTTGTAAATCGTTTACAATTACTTTTTTAACTTGTTGTCTTTAGTACTGAGTTGGCGGGGTTTCAGCTAAGGCTGCTCTACCAACCTAACCCACTACACATTTACAAATATACCCATGCCCGTACCCGGATTTGAACCTGGGACCCTTAGTATCGTATTCCAGCTTCTACTCAACTGCGACACACGGGCCGGCTTAAGAATGATGTTATTGTTTGTAAAAACATCCAATCACATGTCTTAACAACACTGTTAGCTGACAACATAGTTAAGTATGCTGTATGGCTTTATAATACGGGCCGCGATAATCATTTTGAAATTAACAATTTTGTGGTTTTCCCTGCATTTCTTACCCGAGCGAAAATTTTGATTTTACCGTTTTAAGTTTTAAAGTTTAAAAAGAGCACATGCTCAAAAATAAGTTAAAACCAACAACTTTTTTTAAATGAAAATACATTTTTATTTTCCTTTTGGAATTTTACATAGTGTTTCATGTACAGCGTGTCCCATTTTCGACACTTTTATAGGAGTTATGGGCTCTTTTTGGGTCAAACTTGCAATGGTAAAATCAAAATTTGCACATTTTTGCTTCAGAGATTCGGAGATAAATCAAACAATTTTCAATTTCAGAATGACCGTATATATTCTTAGTAAAAACAGAAACAAAACAAACATTCTTGAAAATTATTGATAAATAATCTGCCGTTTTCAAAATAAATAATTATACAGTACTATCGGGTAAAAAAAGTGATTCGATCTAACTTAATTTTATTTAAATGGCATACCCTGTATATTTCAATCTAAAATGGCATAATAAATTCTGTTTTTTTGAATATGACACTGAAAA